AATGTTTTGATATAATAATAATAATATGATTTAAGTATACGTATAAAGTTATCTTGATGGTAAGAGATGAAGATATAAATATATATTTACTCTAGTTTCACTCTCGTTTTAAAAGTGACGGTCTCTGTTCCTCTGTTACTTTTACGATACGCGTAAAAGAAAAAAAATATGGCCATTTCAAAATGAATGGACACCACAAAAACGTATTATAATCGTATCCCCTCGCACGTGTAGGAAGGAAGTGAACGCTCTTCGCGGCGGAAGTGGCAACGAGGCGAAGAACGAGCGATTGAGGGTGCGATGGCTAGGCAGTGCCGTGACGGAACTGCAGAGCGAGGTCGCGGAGGTGCTCAGGACCCGGAACGCCAGCGAGGAGCTTGCCGAGCGCTCGAGGATGAGGAGCGAGCTGGCCCTGCTGAAGGGTGACGTTGCCGAGGTAGGCAGGAGCATACGCGATCTTGGTGGAAGGATCACCAAGATCGAGGCCACCCTTGGTACCATCAGGCTCGACATCGCCGCGACCAAGGAACGCGCCAGCCTCCTGTCCCGCTCTTGCGCGGATGTCAGTAGTCAGGTAAATTGTTCTCTTCTCGCAGATGTTAGGAAATAAGGCTGATACCAGAAAAAATAAAACAGAAGATGATAGGCAGGTGGTACCAATTTGCAATGCCGTTGAACCAAAGCAGGTGTGGAATGAGAGGAGAGAGGGATTTACTTATTACAAAGAATATATTTTATTTTGGAGCAACAACTTAATCATTTCATTTCTCAGTTGTTCTTCATGAAATAAAATTTATATCAAAGTATAAATTTATTAGCTTTTCGAGTATTTTATTTTAACTATATATTATAATTTAATCGCCAGATGTTTAAGATAAAATTAAATGTTGCTAGAGTTAGATTCTCTCCTCTTTTGCATGTCTGTATGTAAAATCTAGAAATGGATGACGTGTCCTACGTATAAAAACTTGTATGTTACGTATGTTCTTCAATATCGTCGTTGACGAGGTCTGGCGGAATTCCTAGATGTGCGCGTGCCGCTCAATGACCACGGCCGATTTTTTTTCGCTCACAATGGTTCAAGATCGATTTCGTGGTATGCGTACACACGCCGAAGGGCTCGGCATGCGGCTGCTCGCGCGCGGACAACGGGCGTCCATGTAGATAACGGCTGCCGCTACCATTTAGTATTTACGGCAGGAAGAAGAAAGAGGGAGTATGGTCGGTGCACCTGCGCCTTGCACGGGGCGGCCAGCTGCTTCATTCCTGTTTCTCGTTTTGCCGCTTGGCAGCTGCTTCTCAACCTCCTCCTCCTCCTCTTCCCTTCCTCCCGCCTCGCCCGCACAACGCCTTTCCTTTAAGCCGCACGCATATGCCCCTCGGGTCCACCGGCCTACCCTCCTCCCTCCTCTTAAATACTTACCGCCCTTTGCGCTTCTATCTTCAACTCTCAATCGTCATGAGAAATCAAATACAATAAAATTTAAGAATATAAGATTCGTAAAGAATGCGAGCTAAGTGGGGGTCATTGGTTTGAATAGAGATGCTAGTTTATAAATTAAAATTTATCTCGTACAATTTGTTGTTCGAATTACTTTGCATAAAGTATTGGATGTTTTAAATAGTTTGCAGAGATAAAGAAATAATAGATAATGTGTGGGACGAAGAGATCATAAGATTTAAAAATCATTAATAGTTTCACTAATCGTTTTTTGAACTTGCTTGTTTATTACTCTATCTTGTCTTTAAAGATTTCAATAATAGAGAGATATATTAGAAAGAAATTTAGAGAGAGAACAATGTATTTGCTATAATTCAATTATTTTAAAAATGTAAATAACATACAAAATTATGTATATAATAATTTAATTATATATTTATTATTAATTATATATATAATAATTTAAATTATATGTATATCATATTTTCAAATAATATATGAGATGATATAAAACTAATAATATTAAAATTCTTCTTTACACAAGAGAAATGATCTATACATTTGCGCGCGTTTATAAATTCGTTTTTGATCCCGAATAGAAGTTTCGGTCAGTAGTCCTTACCGTCTGCGGCATTTGACACACGCTGGCGACCGCAGCCACACGAGTCGACAGCTGTGGTCCTACTCTCACGCATTCCACAAGCGCGTGTGTATTACACACGTGCAGTCACGCATACCACGTAATCAAGGACCGCTTGTAAAAAGTAGATGGATTAAAGAAAATCGGTAGAAATTTATTTTGTAAGACGAAGAGATCATAAGATTTAGAAATCATTAATAGTTTCACTAATCATTTCTTAATATTGCTTGTTTATTACCGTATCTTTAAAGATCTCAGTAATAGAGAGATATATTAGAGAGTAGTCAGCATTACATTGTTGTACAAAATGTAAAACGAACTTTTTTATTTATTGCAGTTAAGCACGGTGCAGATCGAGCTGAAGTCCCTAAAATGCGAGCCTACGCTTCCTGGTCAACGGCAAGATTCGCAGAAACCGGAATATCACAATAAAGCCGATATCTTTCGCAACGAAGTGAGCGGATCGCACGAAGTTACGTCAGCTCGAAGACACAGCTATTCCCGTGCTCTGGCTCATCGCGCTCGCCTCGAAGAACGACTACGTAACGTTGAGCGGAAGATTTCCGTGGTAGCGCGGAAGCGTGCGATGGTGGAGAAGCGGGTGGTGTACGAAGACCGTGAGCATCTTGAGGAACGAGTAAAAAGCCTCGAGCTGGCGCAGGTGGAGCTCTCGAAGAGAGTATCCAATGCCAGCCGAGATCTGGTGTCGATGAACGAGTTGGATGAGTCGGTAATACGACTATACGACTCAGTTCGTCTGCTCGAAGAGGCCGTTTATACCAATCGTTCCGAAGTGAAGCGAGAACTGGCGAGGCTGGAAATAAATGCGGCACGAAAGGCGGCGGAGCTGTCACTGACCAGGGAAGAGCTTGGCAATCAGTGTGAGCGCGTCGCAGCTGCAGGAGAAGAGTGATGTGCAGCGGAAGAGTTTGGACGCCTTGAATGAGACCCTCAGCCGACTGGATCTTTCTCGAAATTTGGCCAAGGCGGAGAACGTCACGCACGAGCTAGAACAAGTAGAGGATCAGTACCGTCTCATGATAGATTCCCTTCCGGGAAATTGCGAGGAGCGCGACGGCTTGACTTTACTGGCACCTGGTCCCGGAGCACCCTTGTTGGCTTCCTGCCGCGCTGGCTGGATCGTCGTGGCTCGTAGAATTGATGGCGCGGTCGACTTTGATCGCACCTGGAATGAGTACTCGGTTGGCTTCGGTTCACCAGTTAGTGAGTTCTGGATCGGCAACGAGGCGATGCATCGACTCACCCGCGACAACTGCAGTAGGCTGCGAATTGATCTGACCGACACCTACGGCGTGCACTGGCGCGCTGAGTACGAGCATTTCACAATAGATTCTGAAGAGACCGGTTACCGATTGCACGTATCCGGTTATTCGGGCAACGCGACCGACGCACTATCCTATCAGGACGGCATGGCGTTCAGCGCCAAAGATCGTGACATGGACATCAGCACCACCGACTGCGCGGCCAACTATCGAGGTGGATGGTGGTTTAGTCATTGCCAACACGCCAATCTCAATGGTAGATATTCCTTGGGCTTGACGTGGTTCCAGTCGATGACCAATGAGTGGATGGCAGTCACGTCTTCCGAGATGTTGGTGCAACGGAAACAAGACTGTTAATGATGCCGAAGCTGTTCATGTTCATTTATGTTCATTTATAAATTCGAATTGATAGAATGACGCTGACTGATAAACAGAAAATCTTGAAATCCGTTAATAAGCTGTGTTTGAATAGTGCACCTCGTACGTAATCAGTTCACAAGAACACTTGATTATCATACCAAAGAATTAAATGTAATTTAAAGACTACTGTAAATACATTGTATAGTTATGCACAAACTGCTGTAAACATGCACACAACTTATTATATCTGTATAGTAATAAAAAGTCATTGAAAGTAACTATAACTTTTGCTTAAATAAATCACATATTAAAAATATTTTAAGTTACTATAAAAAAAAGATCATTATTAACCGATTGTCACATTATTTCTCAATATTTAAAACAGGTTTGTTTTGTGGTTAACGCGTAAGATAAACGCTATTGCATCATTCCATAGTATGTGCATTAATTTCGCTGGTTATTTTCGATATTTCGTCCTCCTAGCATCGCCACCATTGATGGCGAACGTCAGTTGTTAGGGGCGGGAACGTTTCATAACCAGTAATAAGCAATTGTGACCGCCATTCATCTTTGTATTCTGAATTTGGGGAGCTATATTTAGATAAACGTATTATTTACACGCTGAATGCATTTGGAGAAATAATATGTGTAACTCATTTAATTTGAACAAGAGACAAACTTAACTGTGTATTGTATCGTTACATATCAATTCAATGAATAATAAACGTTAATACGTATTGTATGTGTGTGTTGAAAATTTTAACAACAATGAGTCCTAATCTCACTATTGAGATTAACATGCATTGTTGATAAAATGCACACATTGACAGTAGATACGCAAGAATGGTACAATACAGATCACATTAATATATGACATTGTTTACTGAATTACAATATGTATGTCATACACATCAAACACAAGATTAAACAGATTATAAAATTAAATAAATATAAAAAATTATGTGTAATGGTAAATTAATCAATAGAAATATATACATTTAATGTTTAATAGAAATATAATTTTTCAGATGCTTTAACTACAGACATGATACATCCATATACCACAAAATGTTATGAGATTTAAAAAACTTTATTTATAAAATACAGTTTTAAAGAAATATTCATGAAAAAGATTAAAACATTAATCTCTGTAAATAATTCTGTAAAAAACCTATATTACTTAATAAATATAATAAATAAAACAATTTATACACTTTTAGCACAAATATATTAAGAGCACCTCACTAAAAAAGATACAATATTTTAGTCACTTATATTCTTTTCTTAAAACACGCCGATATCTGAAAATATACAAAATTCCTTTTGTAATCATAAGTACAATTAATTATATGATTATTATTGAATATTTTATTACGTGTAAATAAAATACAGGAATTAAATGTAGGAATAATTAATTAAAAATTCAATGCAAAATTGCATACCTTTTTCCGCGGGTGTTTCTATCGGAAGATCTGATGGTTTCAAAAAGCGTGTCAATATAATACAATTATAAGCAATATTTATTTCATGTATAGTATTTTCTAAAAGCTCATCAAGAGATCTCTCATCCTTTACAATTGATTTATCAGCTATTAAAGACAAATGTAAGTTGCCTCCGTAACTTAACAGAGAAAAGCCGAGAGCAGTAGTACTTCTGAAAATGAGTCGTGATATGCAATATGTCGCTACAAATTCTATAATACAATGCACAATTTTATTTGTTAATTATTTTAAAAAACGATAGTGATGATACGATACTTGTTTGGTATCCAGAAGACAATATTGCTCAAGGAATTATTTAGAATATGAACTTTTTCTGGCCCGCACATATTGCTAAACACCATCGTGCTGTGACTTAAAAGGAAAGTCTTTAAAATTTTTCCTGGCAACAGCGCCGACAGATACTTCATGATCCAAAAATTAAGCAAGATGTTTGAACTTTTTCTGAGCTTGTTATTTGTTCTTGTAATATCTTGAAGACGCTTAAAAAATTGAGAATCTCGATTTGGCTCGACGATTGCCTGTCCGTTTGCATTGGAGATACAAATCCGCAAGAGAACAATCGAAAACTTATTATCTAATGTTAAATTTTCATCGGGCATTGACATTCTTATCGGTAAGATAGCTGTTAATGCATCGGGAACTGGTTTCTTGATCTATAAGAAAAATATACGTTATTTATATCAAACAACTTTGAAAGATCGATGTAATATAATTATCCAAAAACTCTTCTGATTTTCTAGATATTATTTAAACGTATTTCTGGATGTCTTTAGATTTTTTTATCGCTTGAAAATTTTAAGCCCAAGACACAACGCGAGGGAATAGCGATAGCGATAGGAATAACACGATTTCAATCTATCAGAAATCGGATACACCGGAATACACAGTTTCTGATAGGTTGAAACTATGTTATTCCTATCGCTCTATCGCTATTCCCTCGCATTAATTGTGTCTTGGGCTTTATACTTACGCGTAAATGATATTTGTGTACACTAGCAGAAAAAGCTGCTAATACTACATCTTCAAATTTGGTACCTGTATTTCTTCTTATCTCGCGAATTTTCGTCAAAAGATTTTGCGATTTATCATTACTCACATCGTTATCTAACCAATAGGACATTATTTTTTCACCCGTTTGAGGTGGACCATGCAGAGCGCTAAAAATTTACATTTAATTATAACAAAATTATTTAAAACATTAAAAATAGTAGGGGAGAGTGGGAGAATTGCAAATACCTAAAGGAAAAGTTAAATAAAACCGACGATTATTTATTAATTTATAGAAGTCTTTATTCAAAGAATATTGGTTTTAATATTTTTAAACTATATTTAAAATATATATTACATATATATATATATATATAGTAAGTTTGAAGCAAAATAACTGGAATATCTCTTTTGAATAAAGACTTCTATAATTGATAAATAGTGATCGGCTTTATTTAATTTTTTCTAAGTGTTCGCAATTCTTCCAGTCGCCCTCTTTTGTTGTATAAAAGGCAGATTAAATAATAGCTAGATAGCGATCATACTCTCTAAAATGTTTAGAATGAATTGTCACTCTGAAGAGTGAAATCTCATTCCTAAAGATTGAAAATTATTGAGTGACTCCTTTTCAAAACTGGCTCGATTTTCATTCTTTAGAGTGAGATTCCTCTCTAAAGAATTTAGAGAATAACTTTTCCCCTAAAATGAAAAGATAAAAAGTGAAAAATCTTTTCATTATCTTCAATGATAAAAATTTTCACTTATCACGTTTCTGTCTTAGAAAAAAAGTTACACGATCGCCAGAATTTGTTTCTCATGAAAGTCTAATCTTCGAAATTAAAAATTTGAAACGTCTTTCTATTCCTTTATGTTTGTTATTTTTTAAAGATTAGATATTCATTCTATATTTTTAATAAAATGGATTATATTAAATCTACAATAGAAATACTGAACGTACTTTTTGTCCATGCTACAGACAACTTGTTGGATAATGAATTTCGGAAAAGAAAGTAAAATCATCGTTAGCCGCGTGACTTCTTTAATTGTACTATATATTTGTTTTAGTACACCTTTGAGATTCAAACATGTACGATCGATCGATATTTTCGCTTGTTTCAATGACTCGATCATTACGTTATTAGAAAATTTCATTGATGCATGAAAATGGTCTCGCAGATCTTGCACTAGTCGTGAGAATGTTACGTAAGTAAAAGGCATCGATGCAGCAAGGATATTCTTCTCATAGAATCGCACAACATCCATCCCGTTCTGAAAATTCCTCTCCGAATTTCGCAATGCTGGAACGATCTCTTTGAAATGTTCTCCAGTCTCGCCTGACGAAACGATACTCTTGATTTTTACTCTCGTCTCTTTGGTCTCAGCCTCCTCGGCGATCGTTTTGAGTAACAAGCCCAGAAGGGCTACTCCATCACCCAAAGAATGATGAACGCGAAATAATATGGGAATTTTCCGGCTATCAGTATCGAAGCACTTTTCGGGAGACAAACGGCCTTCTTCGACATTAGATCTCGATTTCGGACAACGTTTTCCGACGAGAATCTCCCACGCGGCTCTGTGATTATCGGGCAACGGTTTATTGCATATATTTTCCAAAATCTTCCTGAAGGATTCACCGGAAATATCTTCGCAGGACCCGTCACAATTAGCGTTCACACATTCCAGCCATCTGATTCTGTCTTTCAGGTCTATTTTCTCGCTTCTTTCCCAAAAATAATAGCCGAACTTCTGATTTCGAAGATAGAACAGTTTCTCAATCGTCGTGCCAGCGGCCTTTAAAACAATGCGATCGTTTATCAGATTTCTGAAATCCTCCAAGAAAATTTTGTTTGAGTTCCGCGTGGTTTTCTCCAGTATCATCAAGATATTAATAACGGATAGACAAACGGTGTCTTCAATGGCCCATACACAATCTGTGCCCTTCAAGAGACCAGCGAACTTGTTCCTTAACTGGATTTTTAATACAACTTCGATAAAATGACGATAGATGTATAAAAGGATTAGAGTAATCACGATAAGCGGAGCGAATAAGAAAATGCAAGCAATTCCCAACAATTCCCACAATCTCCGACGTATAATTCTACTCAAAACAATCAAATTTGATCCTTCTGGTTGCATTTCTCGTCTGAAACTTCAAAAAATTGTCGATTAACTAATTCTAAATATACCAGTTTTAGTAAGTTTCTTTTATTGGCTTCACTAACATCGAAGTCTAAAATAACTCCAATTTAATTTCTTAAGCTGAGTAAAATTATGGTTACAAAAATAATTTTAAACAACGTATCCAGGTAACAAACTGACATTATTTGACATCAAAATGCGATGACATAACATTATATTACTAATTAATTTTAAGTCGACCCGTCAATTTTTAGTTAATTCATCTTTAAATTGACTTACAAGAATTTTTCCTTTTTATCTCACTTGTTTTTGGGAATGATCCCAGGATACATGTACCGTTGAGACTGGCAAATGTGTTACTCATATAGGGAAGCCACAGATCTTTCGTCTACTTTCCCAATCAGATTATAACTAAATCCCTTAATTGTCTTACTAACGTAAGAGTTTCTGCCAAGCATTATTTCTCTTCAATTTCAAACGCGTTCGTTTAATAGTTGAAAGAATCCTTCCAAATAAGCATATATTTTACCTTACTCAAAAATCTTATTTTGTTTTTAGAAACAACAGTTTACAGTAGTTCTTTTTATTTTAAACATCTGTGCTTCTTATATATAATTTTTAAGTTTTGTTCGTTAGAATCCAGCACTTTCTACAAATCTTTTCAGTGTTTCCCTTAGAATTTACGCTCCCTACGATGAATAATCTTTGTTGCAAAATATCGATCTATAATATACAAATCATTTCAGTGAAAATTAGATAATGAAATATCAAAGACAATAACAATATTATACTATATATATTATATGATTTATAATTTAAACAAATTATAAATTAAACATGTAACTTGATACAACTTCCTTGCAGAAATTTGAACCAACTTAATACTGGAAGGTAAAATTTGTTGGTGCTTTCAATACTTAAAATAAGTCATAAATAATCACTATTTGCCAGTATTAAATTGAATCAAATTCTATAAGGGAAAAATTTAATTAATTTGACGTATAAATTAATATTAAACTATATGTAGCATACGTATATTGCAAAAAGATTTTATATATAAATTTTTTATATGTATGTTATTTTATATGTATATCTCATTTTCACGATATTGTAATTATAAAAATTACCTTCTTAAAGAAAAGTAAAAAAAAAGCGCCTAGTGTCCGCATTTATGAAAAAAAAAATATATATAAATTATTTGAGTTTGAAAAACATAAAAAGTTAGAAAATCTCTTAACATTCAACGTAAAAAAGTAATTACACTTTTATCACATAATATAACTCCAAGAAATAATTAATTGAGCCCATTAAAAATTTTATCCTAAATGCACATTTCTACCAATGTAGATTAATCTCGATTTAATTTATTTTATTTTTTTCTAATTCTTAAAATTAGAAGAAGATACAAAGTTAAATCAAGATAGTCTATATGGTAGAAACGGATATTACTCGTTTTTTAAATAAGAAATATAGCTTTCGCTCAACTCGATGATTTAGACAAATGGCACAACTGTAATCAAACATACCTCTTTCTGTTTCTGTTTCACCGAGCAGTCTAAAGCGATAATTTGTCTCTTTAATTGTTCGTTTTGAGATAACAGAGATCTGTGAAATTTAACATACCAACATGCAAATCGTTGATAGTATGATAGAGAGAGGAAATTACTTTTGGTGCCAAGTCTTTTGTACTTGTCTCCTCAGAGTTTCCGGCAGTATATTGAGAGAACCGAGTTGAACGTCCGTGACACTTTGTCGAAATAAATCTAAAGAGCGATCTTCCGAACAGATTACGAGCTAAATATGTGATCTTAAATAGAATAGAAATTTTGTTCTCACTTAACATCTGTTTGTTTCGCACTTTAATCTTCCTCAGGTCGTCCGCCAGAATTTTATCGCGAGACTTCAACGTGGAATACTGCAGAAACCGGACAGCTTCCAAATCCCGTGAATACTTCATAATTTCTTCTAATTTACAGATGGTATCGCGGATTCGATTAATCGTCGCGATGTATTTTTCCTCTGGATTATCTACGTGCCTCATATTCAACATTTGTCAATTGTGATGTGATTTGACAGTAGAAAGGATACAACGCAGAGAAAACGTACAGAACTAGTTCTTGTTGACAAGATTTATTAAGCCTTTGTATGTTTCGTTGCCATAACAATTAAATAAATAAATATTACAAAGCGATTTGAAGCGATTGATTCATAGGCCTGTTCTTTGTTACTTACTAAGCTGCACTAAAACTTTTTATCTTGCTTTCGGCAAAATTCAAATATATATATATATATTAATTATTTTAACTACGTCGGGTATACACTGGGTTACATATAATGACTAGATCTGTATGAACTTAGAAAAATGTTTTAATTTATTATTTCCTAATCGGGTTAATTTATCTCACTTTGCAATCAGTCTCTTATATAAAGGTATATACACCAGAAAATAATCGAGATTAAATCCAGTATCCGACTATGAATCGATCGCTTTTACATAAAGTACCATATATTATTTTTACTCTATCCTTCTGTGGAATGGAATCTGACTATAAGAAATGAAAACGAAGCTGGTCTTGAAAAAAATGACTCAATTTTCAATCTTTAAGAGTGAGATTTCACTCTTTAGGGTGAGATACACTCTGCAAGTTTCAAATAGTACATATAGCTAATAATCTAAAAAATATTCTTACTTTAACTTTAGTTTTACAATACCTGAGCGTTATTATAATAAAGTACTTTGGGATAATAAGTACATTGTACAGTGTAAACTGTACGTGTAAAAATAAATTATGCAGGAACAAATACAAGCATCACGGATCTTCGTAATGCACAAATGCAAAAAAAGAAAATATAAAAAATGTGAAAATTTTAAGCCAACATTTTTTTCTTAATTTCTAACGTTATTTTTCAAAAGGTAAAGTCTAAAATTTTGGTGCAAATTTCTTAAACTATTTTGACATTCTTCTTTGATTCTTTCTAATACACTGACTAACTTTTCTTTGTTTTTTGTCATCAAGGCTTGGTTTAAGTCTGTCATAACATCAAAATCTATTACAGTCACATCTTTTTCGATAGTCTCCTTTATCATTTTTACTTTAATAATAAGTGATTCCAATGATTCTTTCGATAAATTTCCTTGACTCCTGTAAATTTCCTTGATTGTTAATATAAAATTTTGATGTTTTAAGATATATATATATGTATGTTTATCATATATTATTTTTATTTATACACATACATGTTTGTTTTTCCTAATCAATATTGTCACATAAGTAGCTACACATATTTTTCAAAAATATGTGTAGCAACCTATCTTAAGCGTTAATCTTGAGTATTATAAAAATATATGAACATTATTATTTTGTAATAAAATGCTTAATATAAGATTCATATTAATATAAAAATGAGATAGACTCACGCTCTATTATGCTTTTCATTCAGGATCTTTGAACAAGTGTTGTACAATCTCAAACTTGCTAAACCATCCGAAAACTTGAACTGAGAAAGATAGCTTTCAAAAAGTTCGTTGCCTTTTGGGTCAATTAAAGCTTTACTTACGTCATCAGTTATTCGATCTAGTTCCTCTTTTGTCAAATTATTTGTTTTTATACAGTCAAACATTTGATTTGTCAAAGACATCTTCCATTCTGAAAAAATTGTAGATTGAGTTATTCGTGAATTATCTTCTTCAACATGAGATATCAAAAAGTCGAATCTTGTAGGCGAATAAATAAGAAAACGCAACAAATAAAGAATACAAAAAAATAAACTATGAAAAGAAGACAAATTGGTAGCGCAATCGATTTTTCCAATTATATATCGAAAATTAAGTATATAGGCATATTTAATCTTCAACGTAAAGATTTTTTTTATATCATGATTTAAGAAGGAACTTAAACATATCTTCTATTTCTGTACCTCTATCTTCAAAACTGCGACGTCCAAAAGCCTTGATTGCTTCGATTGCATGCGAAATACTGGTATAATCGAAATATGCAACAGTTAATCTTTAACAAGAATACATACATTCACACCAAATAAACGTCTCGTGCTATCTCTTATCGCTTATCTGCTAATGTTGAACAACATTAACACAACAATAAACATCAGCTTATAGCTGTTTTTACAGCTGATAATCAATCCTAATTAATATCTACATCTCTACGATATTCTCCTACCTCTCCAATACATTCTACGGTTCTACGCAGATTCTCACTTATGCCTGGTTTATGCTTCGGTCTTAACCCTAAAATCCTAAAATTTAGCCAATAGGGCTGCCAGTCTTAATTGGTCCTAACTGAAATTTGTATTCCAGTGGCTACGTTTACACCGTACACTTAGTTCGCGACCAATACGATAGATGTCTTTGGCTGCGGTCCATTTGACGCTATAAACGCTTCGAAGCGTTTGAGCGACCAATCAGAATAAAGAATTTTACGAATTGACTAATCAAAGAGTGGCTGCGTTCAGCAGAACTTTTGTTTTGCAACTGTTGGAAGTTTCCTTCGCGCTAATTGGATCATACTTTTAGATCTAGAAGAATGGTCCTATCTCAGCAGATAATCATAAAACGGTTGCAAAACTGTTGAGTCTGCTGAACGCAGCCAATGTCAAGTGGATCGCAGCCCGTCTCAAAGGGACGGTGTAGAGCCAGTATGACATTTAAAATTTGAAAATGGAAGTCAAGCGGGAATAGGGTTTTAGCGCAATAGTGAAGGTAATAGCGTTTTTCATTGGCAAAACTAGTGCGCACTCAGTGCACATTAAAGCTGTTGTACACTGTTCTAAAAAAATATATAAGTGAGATATCTCA